GATTTGGCACCAAATGGTGAAATGCGAACCCCCTCTATGCAGTGGGGATGCACAATAATTGCACAATTGCCACAAAAAAATGTTGCAATGTTTAGTGTGAAGATCTCATGCTACCTGCATCTTGCTGACTGGAGAAACTGTAGCTTCTATGCAAGGAACTTTAAGGCACAGATCTAGGTCCCTTTGAACTCAAAGGGTGTTTTCTATTGACTTCCCTAGAGTCAGGATTTGGTTCTAATTAAGTGACATTAGCTCTGTTTTTTGGTTTAAACTGAGATTCTCCTTCCCTGAAAGCAACAAACCTGTGTAGGGCAAACAGTAACTGGATACAGACTTCTGTTCGCTCCCCCAGTTAGAGCACAGTGGGCGTAAGCTCTCATAGGAAGAGAGGATGTTTACAGAGGGAAGTTTCTGTGAGCATGAGAGTGAGGGGGAGCTGCTGCTGGTGCTTCAGAGGAACAGACAGCTAGGATGGTATTTAAAAACAACAGCAACCAAGAAAGAGATTTTATTGGTGGCTAAGGACAACTAGGGGATAAGGCCTTTTTGTCCCTATGAGATCTGACAAGATTCTGAACCTCTTAAGAAGGGCAGAGCCTGCTCAGCGTTTTGTTGGGAGCCTGCAGAGGAAAACACGTACTACAGGAAGGTGGCATTGATGATTTCAGTACATGGCATTTTTTCCCCCTCTGAGTCAGTGTTGGACCAGTGCCCCAACCTAGTATTTAGAGGGCCTGTGCTATTGGTTCAAAACCACCATGCTGAGTACATGTAGTTATTAAAGATTCCATGACAGTTTTTACAGGAGTGATGGCCCTTATGTGCTGGTCAAATTCTAAGTTGGGCAACTGCATTCTGCTTGTTTAAATTATCCCTTCACATGAAGTTCTTCCTCCCTTTCTGTTGGAGACTGTTTCATAGTATTGCTGTGCATTAGATATCACAGAATGGGTGAATGATACAAAAATATTGTCATGAATATTCATTCAGCCTGAACTATGAATTTCAGCCATGTTAACACCACTCTTTGTGACCATATATATACTTGGACATGTCAAATTTTGGTCTTGCATGCTTGAAATATTCATCAAAAGTGAATTTTGAATTCCCTTGCTGCAAACATTTGTACCAGAAACCTGATAATCAGTGTTATGCACATCCAATCAGGAAACTGAAATAAAACTACAGTAGAACCTTAGAGTTACGAACACCAGAGTTACGAGCTGACCAGTCAACCCCACACACCTCTTTTGGAACTGGAAGTACGCAATCAGGCAGCAGCAGAGCCAAACAGAAAAACAAAAACAAAAAAGCCCAGAACGGTGTTAAAAGTAATAAATAAATAAATAAATAAAGGGAAAGCAGCATTTTTCTTCTGCATAGTAAAGTTTCAAAGTCAATTAAGTCAATGTTCAGTTGTAAACTTTTGCAAGAACAACCATAACGTTTCGTTCAGAGTTACAAACATTTCAGAGTTATGAACAAGCTCCATTCCCGAGGTGTTCGTAACTCGGAGGTTCTACTGTATATGTCTTCTCTGACCAATAGCAACTAGCAACACAGAGCTCAGATTTCAATTACTGAATCGCCAGGAAGACAGTAAATGGAATTAGTGAAAAAAAATCATTGATTAGTTTGGAATAATTAATAAATTTGGAAAAAAAATGTGATTGGCTTGTGGATATTCTCTGAACAGAAAAAGAAGGAAAATTCATTGAATAAATTATTTGCTACCTATTTGCTCCAACTTTATTGTGCACTGTTGAGCAGCTGCTGTGTTTATATAGGGATGCCTGTTGTTGGGTGGTGGTGGAGATGATTTCTGCATATAGCCAAATTGATATAAAACTTTAGGATCCTTCAGGATGAAAGCTAGCTAGTGTGGGTATGTCTACCCAAGCTGCAACCACCAATTGCATTGTAGACATACCCTTGGGGTGGACTCTGCCCAATTGCCTAAACCTTGGCTTGTATTAGTTTTATGCTACTGCTTGAGGAAAAAAGAACTTTAGTTTTGTAGCTTGTGTTTCTTTTCCTTCTGCTGGACTCAGCTATGTACCCTGTTTCCCCGAAAATAAGACAGTGTCTTATATTAATTTTTGCTCCCAAAGATGCGCTAGGTCTTATTTTCAGGGGAGGTCTTATTTTTCCTGGAGCTTCGGGGCCTTATATTCCGGGGTGGCCTTATTATCGGGGAGGTCTTATTTTCGGGGGGATGTCTTATATTACAGCGAGAGGCAAAACTGGAAGTAGGTCTTGTTTTCGGGGGATGTCTTACTTTCGGGGAAACAGGGTATGTACTTATCAAATACAACCACCCTGAGTTGCCCCCGTGGGTTATATATTTACTGTGGGCAATTACACAGTATCTGGCCCCCCATGTACAAAGTCAGCTGTCCCTTAATACTGCTTTAATACTGTCAGGATGATAGACACACACCTTACTGTGGTGACCTCAGGTAATCCACGCCCCAATTTGCTGGTCACTTATAGCTCTTGGGGTGGGAGGGTGTTGATAATGAAGAGACAGGCTCTGTGTAAAGAAACTTTTTTGTTTGCCTTTTGTTGTATAATCTAAGTTGTTTTTTATTCATCTTTTCTATCCACTGTCCCTCAGCTCCCAAATTCAGGCTACAATATTTAATGCTGTAAAACTAGACCTCTTATGTTAGTACATAATTTACTGTATCAGTCTCGCTAATGTACTTGATAGATAAAATTGCTGTCAAGTGAGACCTATGCAAACAGAGCCATCTTTCAGAGGGGAATGCATGCAATTAACAAACGTCATGTACTGGAAAGGGGTAATGCTGAGACACCATGGAGGCTGAGGACGTGGGGTGGAGAATACTCACAGGAACATGATTAGAATCTGTGTAAGGAGATCCAGAAGCAGCAAGAAAGAAGAAACGAGAAAATATTTAGGCCCCTGTGATTTTTTTTGACTACTGCAGTGAGTAAGGGCTGCAAAACTGCATTCCTTGTTCTCGATATCTGTTTAGACATCCAGTTCAAATTGTGTACAAAAACAAGACAGCAATTTGTGCCTGTATCTGTGTTTGTACAGTGTCTAGCAATATGGGGCCCTATCCTTTGGTGGCCCTTAGGCACCAGTAATAAACATGGTTAATAATAAATAGTTAACTGTTGAAAATTGCCCTTTGGCAATGGGGAGAAGTGAGGGTTCTTTGCTTGCTTGAAAATGCCTTATTCTGTGTTTGGTAGAATGATGGTTTTAGGTAATGTAGTCATCCATGGCTTGTGCAAGGCCCTCTTCGTGAGGAGCAGCTGCCAGGTGGATCTTTTAGGGCTTGTCTTCACTATCATGCTACATTGATGCGGCAGTAACGCATCTGGTGAAGACATGCTATGTTGATGGGAGAGCACTCTCCCATCGACATAATTACTCCACCTCAATGAGAGGCGGAAGCTATGTCGGTGGGAGAGTGTCTCCCACCAACATAGCGCGGTGTAGACAGCGCTTTAAGTTGATGTAACTTACGTCACTCAGGGGAGTGGCTTTTTTCACACCCTGGAGCAATGTAAGTTACATCGACTTAAGCAGTAGTGTAGACAAGCCCTTAGGCTATGTCTGCACTGCACAGTCATCCTGAGAAATCAGCACCTGGGCTAACCTAGCCCAGGTGTGACAGGCCCCGCAGCAAATCCCTCCTGTGTTACTGCATTCTCACTGTTTCTGCACTCGCCAATGAGTATCCTGAGGCATATTCTATGGTTCTTTGTGATGAGATACTATAGGATTTGTTCCTAGTCAATTGTGTAAATTGCAGGAGAACTTGTCTGTCCTCTGGGGGGGAATTGTGAGATGGCATTGGAGGACTATGAGCACTCGACTGATTTTTGCCTCCATTCCCACTGCAAAGTGGTCAGGTTCCAGGCCGAATGAAAGAGGCGCTTGGGTTCTAACCCACCCCTGAGCCGTGTAAGCTACCCCGGGCTTAAAGCGCCTCCAAACCCAGGTCAGAGGCAGGGGGTCTTGAGGTAAAACCCAGGTCAGTCCCCAGGTTAACTGTGCAGTTATATGCTTAATATGAATGTATTTGCAGTCAAAGGTACCTAGAAGCTAGCACAGGTGCCTTTTTATGTACTATAAATAGAAATAAAATGAAGTCAAATTACTCAGTTGTTGGGCAGATTTGTGGCCACATTTAAAGAATGTAACTTCTGTGTACATGCATGCAACTTTGTACAGGCAATCACTTACAAATGCAGTTTTTGCATCCTTACTTGTGCACCCGTGCTAATGTGTATATGCAATAAGAGCAAGTGGGTTTTGTACTTGTAAATTATTTATGTGCACAAAAATGTGCATGTTGAAATGACCTGCACATAGCAAAGTTGCACCCATACCAATAGAGATGAGGATGAAGCCTGTTTGAAAATCTGACCCTGTTTACTTGCCTGTAGGTTAATTAGTTTTGTTTCAGGTGAAAAAGCAGATTTTATATATAGTATTGGTGCAACTATGACGACTCAGTGAAGTTGATTGAAGTGGACGGAGGGAAATAAGCCTGCATAATGCTGTGCTTTTCATGCCATGGAGACAATAAAGTACTTCCAGTGGAAAGCACAGCTCTGTGAACATGTGGTTTCAATATTATTATGGTATGTGGTGACTGCTGCTGTGTAAAAGGAATTCAGTACCCCATTTTTTGCATTCAAGCTTTTTAGATGTCAGTTTTTGAATACTGGAGGCAGAGTAAATATAGGAAAAGGGTGTTGTCTCAAAACAACTTAATTTGATCCTTCTCTTGAAGGCAAAGCTTTGAGCACAGTTATCTCTCTGAGTTGCCTTTTCAGATCCCTAAAGGCAGAGTTTGCTCAACTAGTTGAGCTGGCTCTGTCTTGTTTTTTTGTCAAACTGAGAAGTTCCTTCCTGATAAAAACAGAAGGCAGCCTTGCTGATTGGGTGTGGCTTTTGAAAGGATATGACATCAGCCACATCCCTCGCTTTATACAGTGTGGTCTGTCTGATCTCTGGCTGCACACCAAGTGAATGAGGAGGTGTTTCATTAAATCTGCACACAGGTACTCGAGTTACTCTGAAACTGCTGCCGGCACCAAGTTCCAGTCTGCTACGAAGTCTGCTTGACTTGCACACACGGAGTCTGCTTAATAAATTACTTGCATAACTAGGATTTTCATCAGGGAGGATGGAATTTGAACTCTCAAGACCAACTGAGAAGTGAAATAACAGAAATTTGACTGCCCAGTGTGCAATGGATGGTGCAGGAGCAAAGGGAAATGCCAGTAAATACCAGGGAGTGGAAGGACAGTCGCATGCAACTTCTCTATCAAACCCACTGATGAGTGGTAAGTAATATAACTGTATCTATCCAAACAATCTTCCAGATAGTCTTCTGGTGGTGATGGAACGGCCATGAATGGCATATATGCAGAGCTCCAGAAGCGTATTCTCCCTGAAAGCTTGTTTACATGCAGTTCGTAGGCAGACAACCGTGTACATGTTCTTGCATTTTCAATGGTATTTATTATGCACGCTTAGTGCTTTCTGACAGTAAAAACCAAACTTTATTTTTAAGCACTTCACAAATATTAGGAATCTGTGTAAAGTTAAATAAGCATTACAATTTGAGCTGGACATAACTGAAAAAGAAGTTGCAACGTGGGCATGTTTGGTTTGCATTATTGCCAGCTGAATGCTCAGTGTTAGCTCAGCGAAAAAAGTTCCTCTTTTGTTTTTAAAGATAGACTAATGAATCTTTGCTAGTGGCATTACAGATATTTGTGGATTATTCTCAAAGGGCCAGGTTGCGAACCCTTTTCTGTCACTGATGAGTAGTTACTTACACAAGTTGCCCCATTCTGTTCACCACTCTGAGTAAGAGGCTCGCAGTCTGGCCCAAAGCGTTTGACAAGCCGATGCGGAGGCAAAAGACACCGTAAATCTCTTTCACATACAGCTTGGTTAGTGGTGTTTCACTTAGTTGTGTTCCTAGGAAGGCTACGCTTTCAGTTCATGGCTAGCGTGCTGGGGGAGGAAAAATGAAGATAACATGCAGTAACATTGCAGTATTCCTCTTTCTTTCATGAGAGCTCTGGAAATCTTCCATTTGTTACTAAACGAAAAAAGAATGGTGCAGTTAGAATAGGAGGAGAACTACAAGGCCAACTGCAGCGCAGAAGTGACCAAGGTCTAGGTCTAGGTTGATTTTGTTTTTTGTGGGGGTGGCAGAATAGTGATAACAATAAAATCCCAAATGAGTCTGGATTTGAGATGGATTCTTCCTAAATGGATGACAGGTTTCCAGCATCTGGAATGAAGGAGGAAAGTCTGTTTGTACAGAGCCTAGCACAATGGGAGCCTGGTCCAGGACTAGGGCTCACAAGCACTATGGTAATATAAAAGATAAATAACCATACGATGAAGCAAAGGGTAATGGCACTAATTTAAGGATTCAAAATAATGTTTAGACAGAAACTTCCAATGAGGCCTAAGAAATGAGACACCCAGCTCCCATTGAAAGTCAGTGTGGCCCAGGCTCAAGGAATGAACACCTCCATACCCCATGGCAGACCCCCAGCGTTCCGGGGAACCCCACATTGGGCACCACTGCCCCAGCCTAAATCTGCACTAGTATGCAACACAAGGAAACGTCAAACACTTAAGCTACATACACAGCTCCAGATTGTGATGGCATAACTATGCACTTTCACTCTTGTGGGTACTAGGTTGTCACCTGAATACCTTGTGAATGTATACAATAGCCATGTAGTTCACACATCTGTGTGTAATACCTGCATTTGCATTATACTTCTGTCAGGATAAGCTTGGGACATAAGCTGTAGGTAACAATAAAAGATCAGAGTGTAATTGTTTCTCAGTCCAAAATTTGGAAATGAGTTGAAGCTCATGCAGACTTTGTGATGGCATTGGTTTCAAAATGGGAAAGTCTGAAGGTTTTGGAAGAGACTGAATACAATACAAGTGGTAACCCTACGAGGAATGAATATGTGATGTTGCCAAGAGAGCTTGAAGAGGCTATACTGTAGGGTTAAGACTGACCCAGAAGAGTAGGAGAGTTGTGGGGTTTAAGCCCTTAGATTAGTGATATCCTAATCCCAAAATGTTTCACTAGAAAAACACCAGTACTTGGGCTGATACTAGTAATATTTCTGCTCTTCAATTTTTAGTTGTTCCTTACTGCTGATTCAGGTTTTCTCATGTGGGTGCTCAGAACTGCATGTCTGACAATCATTGACCCCACATAGGAAAAATGTAGGACTATGTTATCAATACACCCAACAAATAAAAACCACTTCCATGACTTCTACTGCAAATGAGCAGAGACAGCGATCCCCATTACTCTAACAACTTGACTATTTCCTTATTCTTTAGGTGATCCCACTTTCCAGCCTGAAAAACCACCATATATTGTTCACGGATAAATGTGATTTAATAAACAATATTCTACATACATTGCTTTTAAAGCAAAATCCATATAATTACGAATAGCATAATGCCCTTCATCAATCAATATAGCATGGCTTGGGCCCACTGTGGTACTATCCATATGGGGACAGATCTTTAGCTGGGGTACAGTACTGTAGTTTCAGTGAAGTCAATGCCGACTTGCTTGTGAAAAAAAGTGAGCCGCTACCAAATTAAAAAAAGAATATATTTTTCTCTAGAAGTACCACAAAATGGGTTATTCAGAAAGACTTACTGCACAAATGTCTGCACTCCATGCACTGACTACCACCAGGAAGGGTGCATTAAGGGCATGTCATTCCTCCCATTTGGCCCATTGATTCCTCTAGATTCCACAGATCTGAGTAATCTTTTTTTTTTACAGAGGAGTGAATCTTTCTTCCCCTTTGAATTCATGATCTTTGTCTGCATTCCAGTCTCTCTCCTCTGCTGAGCTGATTTCAGCCTGCCTTTTTCAGAGACATCACAGGAGATAAAGAAGTGTTCACTTCTGGGAAAAATACACTGTCCCACCTGTTTGTCTGTCTGTGATAAGAACCCCTATTGTAAGGGCTTCATTCCATCTGCAGAAGTTAGTTCAGACTTGTCTGCCAACATGCTGTACCAGGTACCAGTGAAGATATTTCACTCTGGCCTCAACCTGATTTGAGCTGTTCACTTTGGGATAGCAATCAGAGTTCCACTGGGATTGCCCCATCCTTTCTCTTAACCCCTTTAGGACAAGTATTGTTGAATTGTTATCCCAAGAGAGTTGCAGAGGCTTCACTATGCACTCCAAATTCCTTTCAATTTACTTTATTTGAATAATATAATAAGCCTCACAGATTGGACTATTGTTATCAGATGTGTGCGACTATTACCTTTTTGAATTATCATTTGGTAAACTGCCCAGAGGCTTCAAGTCTGGGAAAATGTGAAATGCTTTAAAATTTGCCTCATTTTTGTTCCTTTAGTAACTCATTGTTTCAGACACAACAAAAGCCAAATTCACCTAGGATATCCCGATACCACCATCCCTAAAATATTACCATTCATGATTTACCTGCTACAGAACTTTATAAATCACAGACATTGCACTAGTATATGTCCAAAATTGCCATCACTGGTCTGTGTCTTGTGTCAATGTAATATCTTTCAGTTGTTATCATTAAAAATAAAAGAGGAGTAATCCAGTGGCCTAAGACCTGGTCTACACTGGGGGGGGGTGTCGATGTAAGATACGCAACTTCAGCTACGGGAATACCGTATCTGAAGTCGACATATCTTATTCCGACTTACCTCCCGTCCTCACGGTGCGGGATCAACGGCTGCGGCTCCCCCGTCGACTCCGCTACCGCCGCTCGCTCCGGTGGAGTTCCGGAGTCGACGGGGAGCGCGTTCGGGGATCGATATATCGCGTCTTAACGAGACGCGATATATCGATCCCCAATAAATCGATCGCTAAGTCAGTGGAGGTATCTAACTAGCAGCTCATGGCTTAAAAGGTAGTGGCTGCTAGCCAGGCATTTTCTGTGTCAGGTCCATAAGTCTCAAACATATTTGTTTCCTCTCTTGATCCACCAGAGCTAAGATTTGTTGACCGTATGTGCCTGCTGAAGATCTCTGTTAGTCTCTCGAAAGGGTAAAGGAATTTTGGTGGCTTATTTGATTACTTATGGAGGACTCTTGATGGTTAAATGTTCTATTTCACATATGTGATACTGATTGAATAGTGCGGTCAGATAGCTCATGCCACAAAGCCTTTTGTGTTAAGGATATTGATCCTTTTGCTATTATTTCAGTATTTGTACTGGTGCCTAATGCTAAGAGAAGTAATTTAAAATAAATTAATTAATAGATTCAACAACCAGGGAAATTAAACATAACAGTCCATAGACATAAATGTGAGTATTCTTTCACATATTTGTGTGGATCTACCAAGTCCAGGGATGGCTGGCAAGTCTTATGAAATATATCCAGTTGCTCTTTTGCCTGACAAATACCAAATAAATCTTTCTCTCTCTTTAAAAAAAAATAATTTGCCAATTCCTGTATCAAATTTTAACCATAACAATTTCCCCAGTATAAAAGACTCTTTCAGATCCTATCACAGCCATCCATGCTGACACATTTCCATCAAAACCTTCCAAATGTCAGTGCATTTGCAGACTGTCACATGTCTAGTATCAATTTTTAAATACCTAGATTCCCTGGAATCAGTAGTTCAAATCCTAGCTTGATTTAGGACTTCATCTTTTAAAGGTAGATAAACTGACTTCCATCTATTTTACTGTATGCAGGCCTTTCAGATAAGACCTTAAAACCCAAGGATGTGTTTGCTTATGTGGACATGAATAATCTCAGAGAAGTTCTCGCAGTAGTAGGGATATCTCCTCATGTCCTTGGATGAAATTTCACTCCTCACACCCACTACTGCTGTGCAGTGTGCTGGTTCCCTGGATTGTTGCTAAAAGTTGTTTGCATTTCAGTGTTTTGCTTTAGGCCTGAAATCCTGCAAGGGAATCTGAGGGAGTGGTCAACACTTGCACCTGCTTCGGATCCTTTACTTCAGTTATCATTTGCAGAGCCCTTTGAAAGTCTGGAGTTATGTTTTTGTTTGTTTTTAAAGTGGCTGAGACAGGATTGAATTTAGTGAGCCAATGTTATGGTGGTTTAGTGTTGCTGCAGGGGAGCAAATCAGTAAGAAATTGGGTGGTTCTTGCCTTTTGGGAGAGCCCACTCTCTTCAAATCCCTCCTTAAAACTCACTTTCCCCAGGAAGCCCACCAATGCTAATTTAAACCACTTTGACCTTCCCATTAAGTGTTAAAAATAAGCAAACAACATGCTAAGACAGATCCTTCCTCTGGGTCTCCCCTGTACGTTTTGTATCTAATTTTTGTGGCTTTAATGGTACAGAGTGTAGTAGGAAGAGCGCCTGAGACATAAGCCCTTGTATTAGAGGCCTAGTATGAGGCAGGACCTGCTTTCAGAATTTGGCAAGAACCAGGCTGATATTGCAGAAATACACATTTCTAAGAAGTACTAAACACAGAGTACTTACACAAACACATTTTGATATTAAGTGGTACCAAAACATTCTGATATTAGGATGGTACAAAAACATTTCCCAAGGATAACAGGAACACACTGATTCCTTTTAAAAGATAAGGTTAGGATGGCAGTATGTAATAGAGATGTTTTGATTGAACCAACATGGACAAGGTGATGGGTAATAACTAGGGCTGTCAAGCGATTAAAAAAATTAATCGTGATTAATCGCACTGTTAAACAATAATAGATTAGCATTTATTTAAATATTTTTGGATGTTTTCTACATTTTCAAATATATTGATTTCAATTACAACACAGAATACAGAGTGTGCAGTGCTCACTTTATATTTATTTTTATTACAAATATTTGCACTTTAAAAAACAAAAGAAATTGTATATTTCAATTCACCTAATACAAGTACTGTAGCCCAATCTCTTTATAATGAAAGTTGAACTTACAAATGTAGAATTATGTACAGAAAATAACTGCATTCAAAAATAAAACAATGTAAAACTTTAGAACCTTCAAGTCCACTCAGTCCTACTTCTTGTTCAGCCAATCGCTCAGACAAACAAGTTTGGTTACAATTTGCAGGAGATAATGCTGTCCACATCTTGTTTACAATGTCACCTGAAAGTGAGAACAGGCATTCGCATGACACTGTTGTAGCCGGCATCGCAAGATATTTACATGCCAGATGCGCTAAAGATTCATATGTCCCTTCATGCTTCAACCACCATTCCAGGGGACATGTGTCCATGCTGATGACGGGTTCTGCTCGATAACAATCCAAAGCAGTGCCACCAGCAGAAGGTTGAATTTCTTTTTTGGTGGTTCGGGTTCTGTAGTTTCCGCATTGGGGTGTTGCTCTTTTAAGACATCTGAAAGCATGGTCCACACCTCATCCCTCTCAGATTTTGGAAGGCACTTCAGATTCTTAAACCTTGGGTCGAGTGCTGTATCAGTCCTTAGAAATCTCACATAGGTACCTTCTTTGCATTTTGTCACATCTGCTGTGAAAGTGTTCTTAAAATGAACATGTGCTGGGTCATCATCTGAGACGGCTATAACATGAAATATATGGCAGAATGCTCCACTGGGAGCTGCGGGCAGCCGTGCAAATTTAAACAAACTGTCTGGCGGCCCACCAGTGGATTATCCTGACAGGACATACACGGCCCACGGCCTGCAGATTGCCCACCACTGCCGTAGAGTCTGCCAGGTGCTATTACCGTGCATTGTCAACAATAAACCTGTCCTCGTGCCTTTGTACCTTAACGGGTCTTGTGGTCATTGGGCAGTTCGCTCGAGGTGTGCTATGCCGGCTGTCTGCGCAGAGCTGGGACGGCACACGCGAAGAACACACACACGTAGCCGAACATCTAACCACACAGAGCACACAGCAGATGCTTAATTCCTATTGTCATTACAAGAATTCTGACCACCAAAACTTGAGGTACAAAGTCAACTGGTAACACAATTACCCCTGGTTATCTTGGCACCAACCACGATCAACTGTTGTTAGTTCTAGCCCATCTCTGGCTATTAGTAAATAATTTAGCAGCTGCAACCTTTTCAAAATATCTTCCTTTTAAAATTGGTAAAGTATGCTGAGCTTGAAAAAACCCCAAAGGTATTATAAACAATTCAGAGCTAGTGGCAGGCTGTGCTGTATAAATTACTCTTTTGTCCTCAATGGGAACTTAGTTGCTTAGTGCTTGTTTAAAAGACAATTTGCATTCTCATAAAATGTATCTTGCTTCTTACTCCCTCCAAATGAGTTAAGGCTGGCAGCTCAGGTAATAAAACACCTTGACCAGAACCATTACTACTGCTGAATGCAGCAGCAACGCAAGCAATGTATTAAACAAGTGAAAATCACATAATACTTAAGAATCGCATTAGAAGGAAGCAGATTTACTAAATTCCTGGCCTTCACCTAGTTTAGATAAAGTCAGGCAATGAAATAGTCCATGAAATTCTTAACACTTCTCTTCTCTTTCTGCAGATTTCGTTTCAGACTGGTCTCCCTTACATGATGCCTCTATCCACGGGCGTTTGCTTGCTCTGAAGAAACTCATCAATCAGGTATCATTTTATTGGGGAGATGAACATTCTGCTTGCTTTGCTCATTGATCCCGTTGTTGAATGCAGGCTGTATTTTATATTGTAAGATATCTGAGATTAGTACAGTGAATTCCACTTGTGATGGATGGTTTTATTATAGCCAACTTATTATCTATGCAAAGCCATATAAATGAAAGCCTGGATTCTGCAAGCAGTTATGCATGTGCTTAACTCTTGCACAAGTAGTCCCATGCAAGTCCACGGGACTACTCATATACTTCAAGTTAAGCACAATTGTTAGTGTTTGCAGGATTAGGGCCTAAGTGAGCTATATCCTTCTCTCCTGTTGAGACACCGGTTGGAGGAGAGCAGTTATTGGGGAAATACCCTGTGTGACATCTGCAAGATCTCATGAGACTCTTTCATAGTTGAAGGATTTGTGGTAGAGCTAAATAAAATATTTGTAATGCAAGGTTTGCTTTTGCATCAAAACTTGCTCCTGAAATCATGGAGGTTTCTGGAAAACAACTTGATAAAATCCCTGAATTTCTTGACAAAATTGCAAATAAGATATTCACAAAAATCAAAAGGTCACTTTTATTTGAGAAGTCACAATTCTAAATCTTGACGGAATAGGTCACATGGCACAGTGGATGATATAAACGGCTGGGAGTCAAGATCATTCAAAGAAATTTAAAATATGTAAAGCACTATATAAGTAGTCAGCATTACTGTTATTGCCTCCAATAATATTTTCTGTTATTTTACAAGGGGAGCAGTGTTAACCTCATTACAGCAGATCATGTGTCTCCTCTCCATGAAGCCTGCTTAGGGGGCCATCCTGCTTGTGCTAGTGTCCTATTAAAACACGGGGCTCAAGTAAGTATAACACAGATGTTTAGAAGCAGATCTATGAAACTCAGTTTTCCCTGCAGGATAATAATTGGTTTACTGAACGATGAGAAGAAAACCATAGGATTGCATGTTGAGATGTCTACAGCGTGTTATGTAGGAGGAATTGTGTGATGTGAAGGAATGTACCACAATGAGTTAAACAATAAAAAGCCCAGTTGTATTTTTTAAAAAGTCTATTTCAAGCTCCTGATATTGTAAGCTGTATGAAAAGAATGAACCCTGCTAGTGTTTTCTGAACCAAATTCTAATGTAAATTAAAGTCCATTTACACTACTCTGGTGGTGTAAAGGAGCTTAACGTGGATGTAAATACCATTTACATTTTAAGGTCCCCGTACACTTTTGGAGGAGTGTAAGTATAACTAAGATGCTGGGTCTTGTAGATTTTTTTATTTAATTATTTTGACTGGACCAAAATATATTGAACAGCCATTCCAAAAAGCACAGTGAGGCTTAATTTATAATACAATATGCTATGATACAATATGAAATATAAAAGTTTATACTTTGCATGTACACTGTGCCTAGCTTAACTCTAAGCATATTGCCACTTTTTACATAAAAGACACTTTTTAATAAAGCAACAAAAAAGTGCAGATATAAGCAGACCCTGCCATTATTATTATTTATATTTTGGTTTCATATATTCATAGATTCTCAGGCCAGAAGGGACCATTGTGATCATCTAGTCTGTGTAACACAGGCCACAGAACTTCTCTGAACAAAGTCCTAGAGCACATCTTTTAGAAAAAACATCCAATATTGATTTAAAAATTGCAAGTGATGGAGAATCCACCATAACCCTGGATAAATTGTCGCAATGGTTAATTACTATGGCCCTACCAAATTCACGGTCATGAAAAACATGTTACGGACCGTGAAATCTGGTCTTCCACTGTGAAATCTGGTGTTTTGTGTACTTTTACCCTATACAATACAGATTTCATGGGGGATACCAACGTTTCTCAAATTCAGGGTTCTGACTCAAAAGGGAGTTGCAGGGGGGGTGTCTCGAGGTTATTTTAGGGGGGCTGCGGTATTGCCACCCTTACTTCTGCGCTGCTGCCTTCAGAGCTGAGTGGCTGGAGAATGGCGGCTGCTGACTGAGGGCCCAGCTCTGAAGGCAGCAGAGCAGAAGTAAGGGTGGCAATACCATACCATGCCATCCTTACTTCTGTGCTGCTGCTGGTGGCAGCTCTGCCTTCAGAGCTGGGCTCCCAGCCAGCAGCCACTGCTCTCTAACTACCCAGCTCTGAAGACAGCGCCGCCACCAGCCGCAGCATAGAAGTAAGGGTAGCAGTACCGCAACCCCCCCTACAATAACCTTGTGACTCCTCGTCCTTCCCCCCGCTCCCCCTGCACAAGTCCTTTTTGGGTCAGGACCCCTACAATTACAACATTGTGAAATTTCAGATTTAAATAGCTAAAATAATGAAATTTACAATTTTTAAAATCCTATGACCGTGAAATTGACCAAAAGGACTGTGAATTTGGTAGGGCTCTATTAATTACCTTCACAGTTAAAAATGTACACTTTATTTCCAGTCTGAATTTGTCTAGCTTCACTTCCAGCCATTGGATTGTGTTATACCTTTCTCTAGTAAGCTGACGAACCCATTATCAAATATTTGTTCCTCATGTAGGTACTTACAGATGGTAATCAAGTCGACTTAGCCTTCTCTTGATTAAGCTAAATAGATTGAGCTCCTTGAGTTTAGTCTTGGCTATAGCACTCAGAATGTTCTAGGCACTTACCAAACATATAGGAAGAGACAGTCCCTATCCCAAAGAGTTTATAATCCTGCAAAAAAGTATGTGCACACTTAACTTTATACACGTGATTAGTCCCACTGACGTTAGCAGGACAAATCACATGCATAAATGCAGTACAGTGTAAATATGCAGGATCAGCGCCTAAAAAAATCAGGAAGCACATAAAAAATGGAGAGGAATTGAGACAATGTACAAGCAAAGTGCCCAGAGTGGTGATGAGTACAAGTCTCATGACATTTCTGTTCGGTTTTTTTATTTTCCCAACAGAAAGTATTGACTTTTCACTGAAAAATTGAAAACTGAATATTTTTGTTGGAAAACCTAAAATGTTAATTCACAAAGGTCACCATCATATCTACCTCCTGGGAGTTCTAGGTCAGGTGTTTCATGCCAACATTCTCCTCGATGGGATGGGCTCCCTGTTTGGACTTCATCTCCCATGATGCACCACGGTCTCCCCTCTTGCTAAGCCACCATGGTATATCATGGAAGCCCCTAGCCATGGTGCATCATGGGAGATGTTGTCCCGCTGGATAATCTGGCCCATACAGGACAACGGGAGCATGATGACCCCAGGCAACGCCCATGAGCACTATGGTGGTATTTCTGAGTCAAATAGTTTTCAGGTTTGGAAAAAAAAATTGTGTTTTTCCAATGAAAAGTTGATATTTTCAACAGAAAGTAGACCCTTTTTGCAAAGCAAAAAAAAAAAAAAAAAATTTTAATTGAATACTCTCAATTTTTCATAGAAAACAACAGTTTTTATGAAAATATTCACCCAGCCCTAGTTAAAATATTCCCAGATCATTACTGTTTTTAAAGAAATGACTTGCCTGTTGTTTTTCCGTCAGGTGAATGGAGTTACTATTGATTGGCATACTCCTTTGTTCAATGCCTGTGTCAGTGGCAACGTGGCCTGTTTGAATCTATTATTACAGCATGGAGCCAGCCCACATGCACCATGTGATCTGGCTTCCCCTATCCATGAAGCTGCTAAGAGAGGTAGGTTACTCAGTCAAGAGTCGGAATTACTTTTCCTTTTACCAACACCTCGAAGTTGAAGTTAGTGAGAGAAAGGAAAGATCAGTCGGTATATTGAATTCATGTAAAATACAAATATATCATTGATAGAACCATGATACTTGTTCTCAGTGCTGGTATCACAGTTTCTACCATCCTGTCTTCATCCGTGACACCTGCTCCTGAAGTCCCTAATCAGCTCCTGAGGTCCTGGGTATATGAGGTGACCTCTCTTAACTTCCTCCACCACACAAAATGGCTCCCAAGCCCTCACACCTACTTGCATTGCTGTGAGGGTTCCTCTAACCTGAACATTGCCCTTGGGCCTCCCACAGCTTGACTACTGTCATTTGGGTGGAGGGAAGGGTGCAGGTGTTTCCTTATCTGGTAATTATCTCTCCTCGGTCCCCAAAATGGCTCTGTTCATTGGAGGGGAAAGTATCCCACCAACAGTGTTGCTCTGGCCTCCATCTACCACAGCTTGACAAAACAATTTTAACAAGTTGAACTTGAACTTCTCACCTCCTAAATTATCAAACGTGTCCGCCATAAGGAGAATTCTGTGAAGAGAGAATTACTGTGAATTTTCTGAAAGCACTGGAAATCAATACAAATTTTCACAGACACTTCCATTTCCTAGTAAGCGCTTCATGAAGCAAGGACTCATATTTCTACTACTGTTGTAGTCTTATGGACAAGAAGACTGCTTTAGTGCCTTGATGGTGAACAAATGCCATTTCTACTTTCCATTAAGTACTGAGAATGGATAATGATCTCACATTAGCTAGCAATAGGCATACTAAAATGAGACCCCATAAAGAGCAAAATATTTCAGCTAATAAATGAGATACAAGAACCTAGGAAGTAACTGGGCTGCCTTGCAAAGACCTTCCCTGATTTAGCTTGGCTGTTTGTGTTTTTCAGTGCAGATTTAACCCAGCAAATAAAATGCATTCCTTTGAAGATGTCATGGCATAATTTGGTCATGTGTGTAATGTAAACTCTCCCCCCTTACATGGTAATATTCCTAATGGCTATTGTTCCCTTGACCAGACGAGAGAGAGAAAGAGAAAATGAGGATTCCAATCTCTTGAAAAGAGACTGGGGAAGAAGGGGCCATTATAGACAGGAAATCAAAAATGGCAGAGATGACTGTTTGGATGAGCACCTTTGAGACTATTGTTGTCTGTGAGCTGTGTCACCTGCTGCTTCTCTCCTCCATCCCACCAAAATGATTCATTATGGGATGGATAGACAAGGGCATTTTGAATGTATCAAAATACTGGAGTCTGGGGAGAGGAAAAAATGGAAATCTAAAATCTCTTGCCAAATCAATGGAGCTTTACTGATCTACACTGGGGGGGAGGGGAAGAGTTATCTGGGCCACAAAATGAGGAGCCTTCAGAAACCCCTTATTTTTATTATTTGACCCTCCTTTATCCTTTCAAAGGACATATTGAATGTGTCGAATCCCTCACATCCAATGGAGTAAATATAGACCTCAACATCAAACATCTGGGTACTCCGCTTTATGTGGCTTGTGAGAATGAGCAGGTAGCCTGTGCCAAGAAGTTACTTGAATCAGGTAAAAAAAAAAAGTAAAATGATGTTCTTTTATTTTCTGTAACATCTTTTTATACTCTGTCCTCATCCAAGGCTGAGGGGTACTCACACGCTGGAATTCTGAAACATTTGAATCGTGTAGGTAGCTCTGAGTATTGTAGTGGAATTTTAAGTTGACTAGAAGGGATATAGCCACACAACTCCCGTTGAAACTACATGCGCCTCGAGCAGGGGGCCGGATTGCACTGAGCCCTGCATTCTTGGATCCTTTGTACACCAGTGCAAGGGCCAGACGCAAACATGGTCATCCATTCAGCAAGATGCTTAAGTGTGTGCCTCACTTGTAGCACAAGTGGTCCCGCTCAGGTCAATGGGGCTCCTCATATGTGTAAAGTTAGGCATGTGCCTAAGTACTCTACTGAACTGGGGCCTTGGCTTGTGCAATCACATCATGCAAACACTGGAAGACCGGAGCACCTCCCGCAGTGCTAGCAACTCCACAGGTGGTGGGAAAGGGGATGTGGGGTTTGAGAGCAGAGCTGTGTCCTTTCCCTACTCCACAGTATCCAGCAGACTGGTCTGTGGCCCGTAAGAGGGTACAGCAGGTCCCACTGCTGTGTGTGGTCCCCCAGAGCAGAGGCACAGCCTTAGGCAGAGTGTCTCAAGGAGCTTTCATTGATTCACAGACCCCCCTCATCCCATGCCAACACAGGCAGTGGTTTAAAGCCATAATCTAGCCCCTAACTATTAAAATTCATTTCTAGGAGGGTAGTGGGAACCTCCATTGCTGCAGGTTGGTCAGAGACCTAGGAGGTAGCAAAGGAAATTGGATGGTCCAGCTATGACTTTTTTTTTACTAATGTGATCATATTCTTGGTCCTACCTTATTTTCAGGAGCAAGTGCAAATGGTGGCAAAGATCTGGACTCTCCTCTCCATGTGGCTGCCAGGAATTCCAACACTGACCTGGTGCACTTGCTGATTGACTTTGGAGCAGACGTGAGAGCTAAGAATGCAGAAGGCAAAAGGCCAGTGGAGCTGGTTCCACCAAGCAGCACTTTAACACAAATATTTGTGCAGAAAGAAGGTGTCCTTTAATATTTGTTTTATTCAAATCCTAACCTGTAGGTGGCTGAAAAAAGGGCACATTATTTACTATGCTGCTCTTCATGTTCTGTATCATGGAGCAAAACTGAAAATAACTGGGCTCAGTTCTGCCCTCAGATATTTGGACACAATGTCCATTAACATCAGAGTATTAATTTATGAAATATTATTATTATTATTATTATTTTTAAAAGACTTTATGGAGATTCCAGTCTCAGCAAAAAGGAATTTCCAGTCACTACAAATGCTATAGAGTATTATTTGCATACCATGCACCTGTGGCCCCCCAGAGTTTTCAGTGAGAGTCCAGGGCATCAGTGAACAGACTTGAAGCTTGTAATGTGTCACAGAAATGAGCTTAGGAGACATAGTAAGCAGAAGAACACTTACAAATCAACTGGGAACTTTCCTCTTTCTGACTATCAGTGTTCTTCTTGGGACTGGCCCTAAATCCACTGAAGTCAACTGGAAACTTTTCATTGACTTTAATGGGTTCTGGATCATTCCTGGGTAGTGTTAAGCTAGTGATTCTTCTTGGAGCATGTTAACAAATTTGAAAAGGATAGAAAGTAACCTCAAATCATCCAGTGAGAGTTGAGCCCGATTACCAGAGAGCAGAAATATATCCACTGAGTTTAAATAACGTAATTTTTGTGGTACAAGTCCAGCAAATGCCAGGAAAAATCTGTGTTAAAGTACAGCTGGGAAGCTTTTAATTCATGCAGTATAAAAACAGTAAATGGACTGTAACCGTGATCTATTTCCTTGCCTTTTGCTTTATATTTTTGGGTCAAAACCTTAAGAAGTAGCAAAATGTGTCTGAAAATTAATTTCTCTGTGTTGCTTTTTTGCAAAAGGTTGTAAAATATATCCCAAAAGGTGGTACAATAAGTATGTATGGTATGTGTTTATTAAGGTCCTATATTATGTCCTGCAGAATCCAGCCCTTCCAATCTTTAGGTTTGATTCTTATTTAAACTTTTTAAAAAGCAGCTGTTATTTACCTGTAAATCAGAATGGTTCCAAATCCATTTTGTTTTATAGGGTATATTATATTCATGAATTCTGGGAAAAATCCTATGTGTTTGCCAGGTAAATGTGAAAAATGCTTCTGGTCAATAGAGTTACATTCCTATAATGTATTCATTTAGAACTTCCTATGGAGGTAGTAAACAGCAGTTAGTATCATTATGTTAAACAAGATACTGCTGGTATGATCCACCACTATATTACTCCAGTTTTATGCCAATGTGACTCTATTGAGATCAGTGGAGTTACACCAGTGTAAAACTGGAATAACACAGTGAGAAATCAGGCCCTGTGTGTGTAGTCAATAATATTATGAAAACAATCACATGATGCTACGTGGCACAGATATTTGGTCTTTCAACATATTCTGCCATACACACAGCTGTATGTTACAGAACTCAAATCCTCTTTCTGTTAGATGTCTGACTCGTATCACATGTGTTTATCTGAGATAAAAGAATATGTCATGCATGCCCAGGGAGCAGCCACAGAACCATATGTAACATTGGAAGGGCTGAGTTGAGAGGGCTGGACAATAAAATTCTGGAGACCATTTTGCTACTGAGTAGTGTTTCCCAAATGTTCTTCAAAATTCCTTTTTCTGAGTAAGTTCCAGGTTTGCTAGCAGCTGGTTTCTAAATTGTCCGGTCTGAAGCAATTGAAAACAGATGTGAAAATACACAGCCTTTTGTTTAACCTTCAAGTTCCCTTCCTGTAGTGTGACTTCCTTTTGGTTTCATTCAGATTCATTCTATGAGTATGGTTATGTCTGGTACAGGCGGCAGGTGAGCTACAGTATTTCCCACCATCCTGTGCAGCCTCCATTATTCCAGTAGACTCACTTGCTAATCAGAATTGGTTTCCATTCTGTTTTCTTTTCCTCCATCTGGTAAATGCTTGGAAGGCTCTACCTACAAATGTGCGGGAAATGGCAGCATATAGGGATTTTTCCTTCAGTAGACTATTGGCCAAAGTACCAGCCCACAGTCACCCATATGAACAGTTATAGAACGTTGTTGCCCCAATCTAATGTTTCACTGCATATGTTTTCTATTTGAACGATACAGATACTTGTGCGTGTGGTCCAGAGAACTAGCAAAATAAAGAAATAAAACAGCACTACATTGAACTACCTTGAATACAAGAATTACCTTGCATTTTTTGGTTATTTTTCAGGAGAGTGAAATTGATTTTTTAATTTTTTTTTAAACTTTTCTCTTTTTCAGTGAAACATTTCTGCTTCTATGGGAATGTTTTTAAACTTTTAAGAAGTTCTCAAAGAGACATTTACTTATGGGAAGCAAAATAAAATGGAATGCACAATGTAATATTGCAATAGTCACTCCTGTTCCCATGGATGTCAATTGCAGTTTCAAAAGATGAGCCTGGGAGCTTAAATTCACAACTTTGCTAACACTAAAAATCATGGACTGAACAGAGACACTGAATTTATGGCTTATTACAACAATCTGTAACTCACTAACCCCCTCTTTTTGTCCTATGACTGAAGAGGTGTTAATGGGCCACTCTATCTTGAATGGCCCCTTAGAATATGTGCTCACTGCTTATGTTCTACTATCTGTTCCACCTTGCATTTAGCTGTGATGCTTTGAGTACATTTCCCAGATCTGAAGAAGAGCTCTGTGTGGCTCGAATGCTTGTTTCTGTCACTAACAGAAGTTGGTCCAATAAAAGATACTGCCTCACCCACCTTATCTGTCTAACTGCAGTTCTGCCAGTTTCAGCAGGAACAGACCCTGAAGCATGAAGTGATTCTGGTCAGGATTCGCCACTTCCTTGCACCAGACACAGTCTTTTAAACTTGTGTAATGTGGGTATAAAATGCTGCTGTTCTGACTTGGAACAGTCTTGCATTCTCTGTGCACAGGTATAAATGGCAGCATAAGATGCAAAGCAGTGGAGAATCAAGCCCTGTGTATTTACCAGCTTCATTAATACATCTCATTAATACTGCATGTTGACAGTGCTCTTGATACAGCCATTTGCTCAGTAAAACCATCTTTAAGAGAACCCAGCCAGCTGTGAAGAGCTGCTGAAAAAGTGGTAGCTGGAGTGTGGAGGGACACTGAAAACAGCTGCTTTTTAAAGCTGTTACCCAAAAGCAGTACCAGCTGCTTCCACCAGTACCTTCAACTCCCTTACTCACAGCTACTGCCAACACAGCTTCTCTGGTGACCACAAATGCCTTTATCTTCTAGCTTCTTTTAGAAAATCTTAACTGGGACTTACTTTTAGCTGATATCATTGTCTCTGCCTCCCTGATCCCATTTCACTGATTCCCTCTTGCTTTCTAAAATACCTCATAAAGCTCATCTCTTCTTACACTGCTTAAACCCAACCCAATCCTGCCTTCCCCCATTAGTGCGTCCAGCTTGTCTGCTCTCCTTATCTACTCTGACAGTAACTGTTCTGTTGTTGTAACTGCTGTGTATGATGAGATAGCCGTACAAATGACATGTTATATGATCCAACTGTTTTGTATTTAAATACATCATAGTAACTACCTCTTAACAAGAAGGATAAGCCCTCCATTAAGCATGTTATGCTGTTACATTTAAATAAAAGACATAGATTCTTTACTAGGGCTTGCATTATCAGCATGGGACTATTTAATCTTGAAGGTTTAAATAAGGGATTATATATTGCGTCTCGTGCTATGTGTTTATCACTGTTATACTGTTATGAATACTTCTGCAGAAACCAGTGGGCCGCAAACTTGAATCTCACTCCAGGGAAAGGATTTTGAAGGAAGCATTAATCATCTCTTATTTTCAAGCAACATAAAGTATTTAACATTTGTCTTATAGCTTGTAGGAAAATAATACAGCTACTAATCATACCTGTATAAGGATTAAGAATGACTGTGTTTGGTTCCAAGACAACATATTTACGTTGTGGGCTTGACTTACTACTGCTTTGCCTCTTGTTTGCCTCATTTACACCTGGGCAACATGGGGATAAATTGCTTCTACTGGGGTAAGTGAGAGGCGATTTCTCATTTGATAGTGTTTAGCACCCGTTTTTGCACTAGAATAAATGACTGCACCAGGAGCATAGCAATGGGGAATTGGTCCCTGTGTGCTGTTTTCAGTATTCAGCTACAAAATCTGTTTATGAATGATAATCTTTCTCAGAGCAGGCGCTAGGCATAAGCAGACTAAACAATTGCTTGGGGGTCCTGAGCAGCTCACGGGGGCTCCCATTTGCTTTTTTAGTATGTGTTGTGTGTGGGGGGACCCTCCCCCCCAAATAGGCCAACATAGGGCCCCCAGTAGGCTAACACCACTTCTGATCTCCCTTAAAAAACTAACTACCTGCTCCAAACACCTTGTGACTAAAATGATTTGGTAAAGAATTTCCAGTGTGTTGAGTTTTTAGGAGCCTGCAGGAGCTGAGAGCTTGGGAATGTTGCCCTTCAGTAAAGCTGGTCTAGCCTGTACTACACAAAAGTTGGCCTTGTTACATATCTGCAGCTTCAGTTCTGTGACAACTGATCTTGGGACAATAAAATCACATGTTATAACTTGTCTTGTGGCATCTTTCTCCAGGGCCCCTGTCCTTGATGCAGTTGTGCCGCCTGTGCATTAGGAAGTGCTTCGGACACAAACAACATCATAAAATAACTGGACTTCTGCTCCCGGATGAGCTGAAACATTTTCTCCTCCACATTTAAACATTTTGTATTCAAAACCATACCAGTAAAAATAAGGCGAGGTTTGTCATAGTGTTGCCAACTCTTGCAATTTTACCGTGAGTCTTGTGGTATTTGATGTTTCTCTGAAAGCTCCAGCTGCTGGAGTCATGTGCTTATATGAGAATCTCAATTTTCATTAAAAAGCAAGTAATTTTCTAGCCCTCGTGGCTGTGGAGAAAAACTTGATAACATGAACCAGCTCAGAAACCAGAAAGCAAATAACACGAGGACCAAATTTATCATTTTTTTTAAAGAAAATGATTTTTAAGCTAATCTCATGATTCTTTGAGGCCTGATTTTTGAACGCTTGGGGTTGGCCATGCTGCACCAAGTACATGTACTAGTGCAGAGCAAACAACATCTCAGATTTATTAAATAAGAAGGATGGCTGAAGTCTTGCTTTAAGCAGCAACCATCTAGGATGCCCATGTCGGCTGTAGAAGATGTTCCACGCTCTTGTTGCCCTTTATGTATAAGGAAACGGAGCCAATTCCAATCCTGCAAAGCAAGTGGGGAGATTTGGCGTGGGAAAACTGGTTAATCATTTGGAGTAGACAATTCAACTCTTTTAAAGATGATCAACAAATTTGCTGAAAATTTCTTCCTTAGAATTCAAAGAAAAGTAAAGGAAAGACAGTGAATGTCAATTATTTTATTGAGTTAGGTTATTTCTGCCCTTCATGTTTTCAACATGAAAATATTAACTAGTTCTTAAAGAATATTCTGTGTTTTCAGAATACCCAACAGTGCATGTAGATGAGCACCAGCCAACAATGATCTATTCAGACAGGCATCTGAAACTGTTAGGGGTTTACATTATTGCCATTACAGCATATAGATCATTGTTGAGGGTAGCTTCCTGTAGTGAGGAAATAGTAGGAAAATTATTTTTGATCAGCCATTAAAAACACTTATTCACTGATGTGTTTTGAGACTTAATGGCCTCCTATCTCAGTGTAATTTCTCCCTTAAGGATAAATTTTTCAAGGACACAGGTTACCACTTGTTGGCAGGGAGTAAATGTTCTTCCGCTTTATGGTTTGAATGAAAAGTGAAATTTCCTAAGGATTTATGAGCAGGTCATCAAAAAGGACAGCTTCATTTTTTTTTCTTCCAGAAAAAGGTACCAAAGAGTTCATTCAAAGGGTGAAATAAAAATCTTTCTTGGAAAACATTCTACCTCTTTCTTAACATTTCCCACATGAGAGAGAATAAAAACAACTATCTTTAATGTAGAATAATATAGTAAATAATGAAAACATATAAATACTTAGAAAAGTCCATCTCATATAAATACTTTGAAAAACCTAAAATAAAATTAGGACAACAGTAATCTGCTCCCCCTCCTTTTTTCCCCCTTTTTTTCTAGTTTAATTTGCATGTTGGTCAACCAAACACAAGGGTTTAAATTCTGACTCCATTGAAGTCAATGACAAAACTCCTATTGACATTAGTGGAGCCGGATTTCATTCAGGTATACTCAATTTTAGATTTATTCACAAATATCCTACAAGCTCTTTGAACTCTGAGTATGCTCTTTTGGGTGGAAAGAATGATTATAGTGCATTTTAGCTATTTTCTCTCTCTGCAGGTAGCTCTCTACATTGACTCTCTGTTCAAAGAATGTTTGAATCTTAATAGAGATGGATTTGAAACAAAACCCCAGAACTGCACACCCTGAATCTGGGAAAGTCTGGATCAGGATCTAAGTACAAACTTTCTAGCTCAGTCTCATCTCTAATTCTGAAGCATGGTGCTTTTATACAGTACTTAAGCATTAACATACCAGGTGCATATTCTTCTGGTATATCTCCATACTGTCTGTCTCAAAAGATTACACGTGTAGATCCAAATGCTACTACTCAGTAAATAGCACTTTCAAAAATAATTTTCTTCTTTTTCAATTGCCAAGAGCTCACTAGGACTGTGTTTCCTAAGCATAAACTGACTGCATTACTAACATGCAGAGTGCAGGAAAATGGTTTGCATTCAGTGCTGGTGATATCATTAACTTCTGCAGGAGGAAATACAGAGTCCATAGCATGTAAAAGAAAGACACAGCTTTTCAAATGGAGTATCTTGTTTAAAACTTTTCCAATACACCTGTATGGTTTACATAGTTGACAAACATGGGAACTTTAATAGGATGGCCAAATTCCACAACTGTATGCTCATATTTGGTCCTTTGGTATGTAAAATTAGTATTTACATCCCTACTTGGCATATAGATGTGGAATATAGATACCCTGCTTAAGGGCTTGATCCCATGCTCATTAAGTCAACAAGAGTACTTCCATTGATTTTAATGAGCATTGGATCATGCTCTAAGTACCCACATTTGAAAACTCAAAATTCAGCTATCCAAATTTTAGGATCAGAAACAGTAAGTAATTTTTTCTCAGCAATTTTGCCACTTACTTTTAAGCTTCTGATTTTGTGACCTCACTCAGTGTGTTTGTAGGGCTAAGCTAATATCCTGAGATGCTTAATCATATCAGGTGGTGAGGGCTGGTTTTTTAGCTCTGTTTACCTTTGAAAATTTAATAGCTTGGCTCCGTTTACCTGCATCTTTTTATCTTGTATAACTAGGATGAATTCCCTGGGCTCATTTTGCATCATCTCAATATATTTATGTATTTATTTATTTTTAAATCATTTGTGATTGAAACTGATGGATTACAGTTTTATGCATAGATATCTTTGAAGCTGTAAGGTAAACTTCGTGAAATCTGGAGCTATTTCCAAACTTGAAATCATGCCAAATGCCACTCAGTGTTTGAAAGACTGTCATGAATATATTTTTGTAGATTCTAGGCTGTTATTTTGTTAAAGGATTTTATTTCAGCAGTTTTTAACAAGATTATTCAACCACTATTGTACATGATGTTTGCTCAAAATATATTGTTTTTATTCTAAGTTTGGTTTTCATTTTTTAATTAGAGCACCAATTTTGCATTATGTTTTAATATTCTGGAGCCTAGGTTGAGGTCTAATACTCTAGCTTGTAACAGGGAGCTAACAACTTTATTAATAGTATGCAGACTCTCATCGTAAGCTGGAATCCTGTCTGAGTCTGGGGCTCTTGTAACCACAGTACTTTTCCTTTAAAATGTCTGAAGAATGCTGTGATAAGAGCTGAAGCAGCTGTTTGTCCCCTGAAGCCGTGTGGGAGCTGGATTTCTCTTGAAGATTTCAGTTGTCCCTGCAACATTTACATGAAATAAATACACAAATTATTGTCTCATTCTTTTAAAATAGATAAACTTTTCCTTACTTAAAAGTTCTTGCTGGAAACAATTAGACAATGTGCTGTCTCTGAAACCTCCTCTCCCTCCTTTTTAAAAACAACAACAAACTTTTTATTGTTTTATTTTACTTTTAACTATTTATTAAAATAAAAATTACAATGAAATGTTAACATACTGCATTGTACAGGACTTGTTCAGGATCAGATTAATATTCAAAGAACTGGCTTAAAAATTTGGCTTGCCTGCTGGGGATTCCTCCTCTTCTGAGTATGGTAGAAAGGGTGACCAGATTTCTAAATACCTATCCTCTCTTTGGCCCTTCTCTTGTGTACATACTTGGTGTGAAAGCTTTTCCCTTATGTGACGGTTTACGCCCCTTGTTACAGGGCAGTACAGCCTAATGGCCAGAGTCCAGGGAATTAGCCCTTGGCTACAGGGCAACATGGCCTAGTGGCCAGAGTCCATATAACCACCCCTGGTTACAGGGCAGCACAGCCTAGTGGCCAGAGTCCATATAACCACCCCTGGTTACAGAGCCATAGGACCTTACTACTGGCTCAGCAGGGGGGTCCTACCGAAACACGCTGAGGCTTACCAGGGGCAAGGTACCAGTCTGTCACCCCCCCCCCCCAGGTCGGTTCCTACCGGTTCGGGAGTCGGGGTCACCCACGAATCCCAGGGTCCTCCGCGGGTCTCCGGGGCCGTCACCTCCTCTGGTTCCTCCCCCGGTAGGGGTTCGTGCCGGTCGGAAGAAGCATCCGCTCCGAGCGGCTCTGAGAGCGTCGGCTGGTCCTCTGCAGGAGTTGCCCAGTTAGGTCCTTCTCCTTCAGCCACCAGCCCAGACTGAGCTGAGTTCCCTCCTTTTATATTCATGGAGCATTTGATGCATGCCCAGTACGGGCGGGGCGGGACTTCCGCTGACAGAGCTACCTGTCTGTCACTTCCGGGGCTAGTGTGGGGCAGAGCTGCCCCGTCACACCTTACAAGAACAGTCCATATTTTCTGACTCACATTGGCTTTACCTTCATTTAAACTGGTAATTGTAAAACAAGTAGAGATTACTTGCAAACCTTCTCCTTGTGCAGATTCACTTTACTCTCTCCAGATACTTCCTGAGCCTGATTCACTACTGTACATTATTATTAGTGTTATGCCATCCTACTCACAGAAATGAATCAGGCCAATTAACTTTTTCATTACTTCCCAACCTCTTTCTGCAGTTCTTCCTACAGGATGCGAGGGACCATATCTGTTTCTTTTAAGACTCCCTCAACAAAGGTCACAGACCTCCCTCTCATTAACAGTAATCCTCAACTTTGAGGTTCCAATGCATGTAAAAAACGTATTTTTGTTCCCCAGCTAATTATATCCTTAAGCAATGTTAGGGGCACATAAATCCCCAAATTTCTTTAAATAGTTAGAGAGACAAGATGGGTGAGGTCTTATCTTTTATTGACCAACTTCTGTTGGTGAGAGAGACAAGCTTTTGAGCTACATAGAGCTCTTCTTCGGGTCTGAGCACTGTGTAGGTCGAAAGCTTGTCTCTCTCACCAACAGAAGTTGGTTCAATAAAAGATATTATCTCACCCACCTTGTCTCTAATATCCTGGGAGCTAAACGGCTACACCAATATTTGAAATAGTTGAACATTTTAACCAGAGCTGTTAGGGAACTGGAATTTCATGAAAAATTTCCATGAAAAATGTTGAGATTTTGAAATTTGATTTTCTTTCAAATCAGAATGTTCCTTTTATTTTCAAAATGAAATTTCATCCAAATCAACACATTCCTGTGGAAATTTTCATTTTGACTGTACAGCATTTCCCAATGGAACCACACTCCACTGGAAAATTGTCCAAT